TGCTCTCTCCCTCTGGGTAGCTGGCTGTGACCAAGCAGTGACTACAACCTTGTCCCTTGTTAGTTCTACTGTACCCCTGGGAATTCTTACAGAACATACAGATAGACTTGTAGAACCATTGTCTGCCAACCCTATACATGGTCTTGGGTACACTCCCTGCTGTATAGACATACCTGATAGTTCAGGGAGAGGCTTGTTTTTAAGCATTTTTTAAATTGTGATTTGGGTGAAAGTTTACAGAGCAAATAATTCACTTTCCATACAGTAGTTCACATACACTTTGCCTCATGACATTGACTACTATTTACCCCAATTCAACAGCTCCCCTCCCACTTCCTCCCGGTAGTTACCTCTTCCCTGTGTCCATCCCTCCATGCACTCCTGCCCCTCAGCTGTCTCCCTGTGCATAAACAGTCCTTCTTTCTCCCATGATTATTCTCTCCAAGGAGTGTATCTATCTCAGGTAAATGTTCAACTCATATGCCTGTCTTCTGTTAAACATCTTTTTTTAATTGTTGTGAAAATACACATAATATACGCCATGTCTAAAATTTCTAAATGTGTAATTCAAAGACACTGATTACATTCTTCAAGTTGTGAAACTATTCTCATTATCCTTTTTCAAATTATTCCACCACAATTAACAGAAACTCAACTCCCTCTAAGTAAAAATTACTCCTTTTCACGCTTGTTGTTGCTATATGCTATCGAGTTGGACCCGACTCATAGGACTCAGAGTGACCCCTCCTTGGGTTTCCAAGACAGTATCACTACAGAAGTACATTGCCCAATCTTCCTTCCAAGGAGTGGCTGGTAGGTTTGAACCGCCAGCCTTCTGGTTAGCAGTCAAGTACCTTAGGCACTATGCTACCAGAGCTCCTATTTCACCCTTAGTGGCCACTAATATTTTTTGCTCTGTATATATTTTAGGACCTCTGGTGGTGTAGTGCCTAAGGCACTTGACTGCTAACCATAAAGCTGGTGGTTCAAACCCACCAGCCACTCCTCGGAAAGATTGGGCAATGTACTTCTGTAGTGATACTGACTTGGAAACCCAAAGAGAGGTCACTATTAGTCGGATTCTACTTGATGGCATTGAGTTTGGTTTATGTATTCGTTTATTTCTTGTGAGATCCTACAATATCTTTCCTTTTGTGTCTGGCTTATTTCACTCAGCATAATGCTTTCAAGGTTCATGCATGTCACAGAAGGTATCAGTATTCCATTTTTCTTCATGGCTGAATATTTTATTGTATGGATACACTATGTTTTATTTATCACATCATCTGTTGTTTCTACATTCTGGCTATTATGAAAAGTATGCAATGAGCGCTGGTGTACAGGTTTCTGTTTGTGTCCTTGCTTTCACTTTGGGGTATATACCTACGACTGTGATTGCTAGGTCATATGGTAGTTATATGTTCAATTTTGTGAGGAACCATCCATTCCACAGTGGCTTTATTACCACTTTACACTCCCATGATCAATGGATGAGGATGCTTCCAGTTTCTTCATAACCTCGCTAACACCTGTTGTTTTCCATTTTTTTTTTTTTTTTATCACGGCCATTTCTAATGGGAGTTAGGTGATATCTCATTGTGGTTTTCATATGCATCTCCCTAATGGGTAATGACATTGGGCATCTTTTCATGTGCTTGCTGGCCATCTGAATATCCTATTTTGTGGGGAAGCCTGTTTTCAAAAGTTTGGGAAATCCTACTCTAAAAAATCTACTCTAAGACATTCCAAGTATTTGTAATCACACAGATGAAAGACTAAATAAAGCAAATGCTAGGTGTACCCAGAGGGTTTTAGAGTTCAAGTTGCAGAAATCTGCTAACTATGGAAGGTCATACTGAGAGGCAAAAGTAGAGGAAAGAACATTTTGAAAAGGCTTAAAAGTTGCCAGGAAGGCTACATGGCATGATACTCTCTGGATTAAAACTTTACAAACCAGCCAGGAAAAGAAAAAAGTCGCTGAATCACTCAAGGCTTAGACAGCAAACACCTGTAGTTCCAGCAGGTTGAGAGCCTTAGTTGGGCTTTCATTGTTTCCAATGAACTACAGGACACCTTGCTGAGAAAGAGCAGCTAAGTTTCTGGGTTCCAAGGCATGGAGCAGAGGTCAAGTGGGATGGAGAGGAGATCTGATCATTAGACTCTGAATTCCTAAATGTACTCTTACCAGGTAACCTTAGAAATCTGAAGGCAGAGTGGTAGTAACAGGTCTATGAGGAATGTGGCTTCTGGCCCCTAATGGTAAAAGCAGCCAGAGTTGCCAGCCAGACAATATGAACTCAAATGGTACAAGATATCTGGGGGAGCACTAGCATTTTTAGTGGCACCATGGTTAAGCGCTTGGCTGGTGTGGTAGTTCAGTTTGTGTGTCAACTTGGCTGGGCCTGCCTGAGTGGCTAGGCAGCTGGATGTATTCCCCATGATGAGACTGGTGATCAACTCCATGGTGGAATCTACTGTGAGCAGCTGAGTAGCTGCCTTAGGGATGTGGTCTGCTTCCTGTATATAAGGAGAAACCTTGGGGAACAGTCTCAAGCTTATGGCACGTTTGAACCCTGCCTGTAGCCATGTCATTGTTCAGCAGCCTGCCATGCTCTGCTGACCTTGGGACTTTCAATGGACTTGAATTAATGGCCTGCCGTGTGGTTTGGTAACATTGAGACTGTGCCATTTTATTTGTCGATCTTGGGCTTGTTAGTCTCAGTAGCCAGTAGCTGCCTGAGTAAAGAGATGCCTCTAGTTTCAGTGGGCTGGAGGCAAGAGGCAGAGCTGAAGCCCAAGGTCAAGGGGCTTTCACAGGGCCCCTAGAGCCTAGCACTTTGAACTCGGACTTCTAGCCTCCCAAACTGTAAGAGAATAAACTGTTCAAGCTATCCCATTGGTGGTATACTCCTGTCACAGTGGCACTAGGTAACCAGAACAGCTGGTAACTGAAAGGTTGGTTGTTGAAACCCATCTAGGAGTTCCACAAGTAAAAGACCTCGTGATAAAATCCTATAAAGATTATGGCCTAGAAAACCCTATGGGTCAGTTCTACGTTGTCATAAGGGGTTACTACGAGTTGATGACACACAATTGATGTTTTCTAGCATGAACAATTGGTAACAATGTAAGGAACAAAAGTTTTAAGCACAGATAAAAGCTCATGGATTTAACATCTTACTGGTCCCCTGGGCTCTCATTTAAGTTCCCTAAAAAAAAATAAGCTCTTTGCTCCTAGAAATTTATTTACTAGTAGAATGAGGTCAAAATTTAAAACTTAATTATTAAAACTACAAACTTACTAGAGTTGTTTTCAACTGTACCATATTCATATATTAATGCAATGCAATAAAATCAAGTGAAATCAAATCTGAGGCTTTACCATTAATAATTAGGTTATTTAACTTTATTGTAATTTAAAATCTGAAAACGGCAAAACATTATTTATAGAAACACCTGAGGAATGTTTAACTGGGCACAGCATTTTCACACAATCTAAAGAAAGACCAAGTTTAAGTTAGAATCTTGTCCTATAAAACATAACGAGTAACATAGATGGAACCACCCTTTAAACCACATATACCTAGTAAATAGTTGCATTCACATATAAAGTACATTTGGTTTTCTTTGGGGGGGAAAAAAAAGTACATTTTTACCCCGGGTGTACTTTTATTGGCATTTACAACAAATGGCTAATACTATTAGCACTGATTCTCATAGCTTATGAATATTATATCGAAAGTTATACAAACTAATAACAAACATATAGCACCATCTCCCCTTGAAAGTTCTAACTTTTAAAAAAAGCCCCAAATGACAAGTCAGAACTAATGCATCTTCCAAAATTTAGCATAATAAATGGCTCAGAACTAATCAAATGAACTAGAAACATTGCATAGGACAGAGAACTTCCCTGTATGGAAACCAATCTACTGATTGTTTCTTATGCCCTGAAGAGTAAGCTGAGAGGTACTAGTAATAGCAAATGATGCACATATTTTTTTACAGAATAAAAGCATCTAACTATATACATAGTCCATCATTACCTCTGTGGCAGTGCAAAGTGCCATTTTAAATTCAAAAAGAAAAGACTTACTTGTATGTATACTACAGGTATAGAATAAAATATAAATATGATACAGTATCATGAGGGATAAACACATACATTAAAATATATATCTTTTAAAACTCAAACACAGGAATTTTCATATAGAGATGTGCGCAATGAATGACTAGTTAAATGTCCAAGCTTAGCCAAAATATGAAGTCTTAAAATAATAGGTATTTCAGTAAAAAAATTTAATTCAGACTCCATCCAAACCTGTATAAATATTTCCTGCATAAAATGACTATTTTGTCTATAATTTATCAAAAAACAGATAAGAACACTTTATGAAAGCTTATAAGCTTACTTTTTTTCTTTAAATATGAACAAATATAACATACAGAGATAGAACAACAGAAAGGGAAATCATTTATATGGCTATTCCCTTTCTGGAAACTGGTAGAACATGGACAGAGCATTGCATCACCAGCTCGATAAAATATTTGAGAAAGAGATGATACCTACAGTCGCACCTTTAAATTCTCTTCTAAGAAAAGATTCTCATGGGTTTAATTATAAAATCTTCAGTCCCTGATATTTTCCCTTTTGGAATTTAGCTGTTTTGGTTCTACATATAAAAATTAACCAAAATTAAAGGTTTTCCTCTGTTTCCTAAATGAAATATATTTGCAAACTTTACAATTAAAAATATAGGAAGATACACAGAATGAATCCACAACTTGAATATGTTAATTCTAACACATTAAATAATTTTTAGGAAAGAAGATCGGACTGTAATGTACTGCTGTAATTCTGAATATAACATCTTTTTTAGAGGAACTTTCAACAAAACAAAAACTGCTAGGGGTAGAGAAATACTTTTAAATTACAAATTTATCATATCAATACACCTGAGAATTATGTCTAATCTAAAGTTACACAAACATATTTTTCCTCAATTGTATTTTCCTTCTTTAAGTTTTTCAATGTAGTGACAGAGCTTTAATGCTGGCCCCAGCTTCAGCCCCATGTATTTCATTATCACATCACTCTTCAGGAGCAACAGAGCCTTCCCATCAATTTCCTGCCAAGAGAAGAAAATCATATTAATTCATACTAATTCCATATTCTGGCCAAGTTATTTTTATGTCAAGAATATGTAAAGCAAACAAGAGCAGCTGTACATTCCTGATGTATATTCTCTGAATATGCATCTATTTAATAAAAACTATTAAAAATATAACTTATACAGGGAAACACTTGATAATTTCAAATTTTAAGAAAAGGGAAATTTAACATAGTATCTTCAAAAGTGTCCTGTGTGTCAAACTATCTTATTTTAAATACTGTGTCTTGAAGAAAATACCACATATCAATGAGAAAAATGAACAGTAGAAATTAATTCCTGACATTCATTAACTTTCTTAAAAGAGAATGCGTGTTTGCCAACACCAATGCAAACTGTCAATGTGCTATACAGTGTTGTCTTTATGTTGAAAGCTCATCACTTAGTTGTCTGAAGCTAATTAGATGCTAAAATTAATTTCTGATTTTCTTACCAAATTGAAAAGGGTCTATCAGATATTTGACCACTAATTTAATTCATTAGAGAACAGTATAGAAGTACTACTTGATAGTTACAAGGCTTTCTCCTAAAACTCTTTATTATCTTAATTGACCAATTTATCCTAAAGCATTTGATATTCACTAGTTTTAGGTTAAAAATTAAATTGCATTTAATCATATATTACTGTCTGGAAAGACTTGAAATCCATTACATTACTACCTTTGTCAAGTCAGACTAAGAAACTGGAACATACAAAATTTTGGCCTATGGTGTTACTTTGAAAAATGGTCCAGTAACAGGAGGGTATCAGCATCACAAACCCTCAGTAGGTTAAAGAGAATCGAGCCAAATAGAATCAGTGGCTGAATTTATTGGGCATCATAACCAGGGTATCCAATTACAGATTGTGGTCACTCCCTCCCACTCACAAGCACTGGGGCTGACCAGGAAAGTGGGGACAGGATGCTTCTATCTGTCATCACAAAGGGGTTAGTGGCAACCCTGAGAGAAGTGATGATTAAATCATCTGGCCAAAAGAACCTTCTACACAGATGGGAAAAGCAGTTGATAAAGTTTTCCCATCACCCACACATCAGTACAACTGAAGAGCCTGTACAGGTCATTCAAAGGCATTACACCAAGAAAACCCCAACAGAAAGATACATTACATGCTGCCTGAAGAGGTCCGCCAGGGAGGCTGATGTCCGAGGATCTGTTTGTCTCATAAACTGTATCACTTCTTCCACAGACCAGCTTGAAGGGTCCTTAAAGTAGCTTTGTTTCAGGGCACTGGGGTCAGGTCCAACTGTATAATTTATAACTTCAATGGGGGAAAAATGACAAATCTTACTTGACCTGATCATTAACCTTCAGTTTAATAACTTAGCGAGGACCCCAAACTCCAAGTGTAAAATGTAATGACAGCCTATTAAAGGTGGCCTACAGAGGCTACCCAAGAGCTTACCATCTGACCTTTCCCTAGAAAAACAACTGCAGAAGTTACCTTAAGGCTTCAATGAAGATCATAAAACACACAGAGCAATCCAAAGTCTCTTTGGCCACAGGCAAAGACAGCAAAAAGTCTGTTGCTTGGGTTAAGTTCGGTTAGTTTAATCTAACTAATTACTCTCTTACTTCAATTATTTCCATGAATTTTTCACAATCAAAATCTTTCTCTCTGTCTAGATTAGGTGCACTTGACTAACTACATACATTGGGAATTCCCCCAAATTTCCCGTTTTATGATTGCTTAAATATTTTTATTCTAATGTATGATTTTCAATAGCTCTATTATTTTAAAGAACCAAATGTCTATCGTGTATTGAATATCGATGTTTTTAGCATCATTTTACTCTTGGAATTCCTGTCTCTCAAGGCCTAAAATTTTGATGAAAACTAGATTATTTTCTGCTTAAAGACAAAATTCACCTTGACATTTTATTAGTACCTCTTTCAAAGCTTAATTGCACAGTAATAGGTATTTTGATTGAAGGTTTACAGTTAGTGAACATATATTTTAAAAAAGAAATAACCAAGACAAACAATTTGTTTATATTTATAGAAGTTGTAGCTGTGCTATTCACGAACTTGTGCTGAAATTTGTGTCCTGACAAATATCCATTTATTCAACTAAACACTCAACTCCTAGAAGTTAGTGATAACTGAAGTGGTTTTTGTAATCACCTAGACTTGCTTCTCTAACCAAAGATCAACAACACAAATTTAGTCCTTTTTTATGGTATGAATTATCCAATGGGTTACCCTTTCTTCCCTATCATCTGATTTCTGGTCATTTCAGAAGCATTTTAAGTATTTATCCAGGAAAAGTGCAAAGAAAATTAGAAGATTTAAAAACAAACTAATAAACAAAAAGCCAGCTCACATCATAATGTTGATATGAAATAAAAACACTTTACTGAAATACAACTGCCCTTCCACTTGTCAGAGATAAAATGTTGGTCACATCTACTGAGAAATCCTGCTGGGCTGTATCAACCCAAATAAAAACAATGCTGGTACAGACCCAGCCATGCCTATGGCATTCTGACAATCTAGACAGAAACGTCACCTCCTTTAAGTCATCACACACTCAATTTAATGTTAAAAATTTGGCGGCAATGCTAATTCTACCTCTAAATTAACTTACATTTATTTCATCAGAATCTGGTATCGTTCGTTATGCCTTGAATGACATATGTATCTAATTCTACTGACTACTGCAGAGAAACCTTAAGTAAAGATAGGGTTTCTGATGTAAAACTGTAATTTTATATTAAAAATAAAGTAACTACAAGGTTTTCTAGTTTTAGTCTATTATGGAAAAGTAATTTACTTGGGCTCATAGTTCAAAATAATCAGAGAAGGTTGCAAACATAACATTACTGTTACTCAAATAATTACAAGAAGCAAATCTATGATGTGAAAAATAATCAAAGTCCAGTCATACTTTTTACTGAATGGCTTTTTCACTGGGATATCAATTAAGTATTTCTGAAATAAATAAAATGAAAGTGATTTTAACCCCAACAATGTTACTGGAATTCTTTCCTACAATAAAGACCAATAATTTTGTCATTAAAATTTTGAGGCAGGGCAGGAGGTGGGGCAGAGGCATGAGCATCAGTGGCTAGCACGGTTGGACTCAGCTTTAAGTCACAGTTCCAGTATCTTAAATTTCTCACTGAAAATGTTTACCAGCAGCTACATCTCAAGGAACTATTGTAAAGATTTAATATATGAGGCTATATAAAATATCGTGTCTGGCATATATTGTATGATGATGATGGTGGAGGTGATAGTGGTGAAATAACATTTTTAATAGCCTTTCTGCTCTTAGGAAGACCAGAACCTAACCTTTTCAAGCCCAAATACAGGCTACTTTGGCATGATAGTGTTAGGCACAGATTTGGAATGGTAACTTTATCATTACTAGTAACCTTTTAGAGCCTTTCACTGAGAAGGCCTGCCCTCAACAGCTCATAAACCAAAAAACAAACTCACTGCCATCAAGTCAATTCCAACTGACAGGAACCTCCACTGGGTTTCCAAGGCTGCAAATCTTTAAAGAAGAGGACTGTCTCATCTTCCATGGAAGCAGCTGGTGGGTTCGAGCCATCGACCTTTTTGGGTTGTAGTCAAATGCCTTAACCACTACACCACCAGAGCTCCTTTCAACAGCTCATACTTTGTGAAAATTAAACTCAGTGTATAGTATCCCTTTGTGGAATAAACATCTATCTTCCGAGTTTCTGCAAAGAACATTACTCTAAAAGTAGCAATAATCTCCATGGGACGCAGGGGATAGAGTGACAAAATTAAATGTGTCACAGTGTATGGGGTGTGATTGCCTATAGATAATATCCATGATGAAAGACAAAGGAGTCACTTGGTTCCCACTTCTTTACTCCACTTTGCCTAGATGTCTGTTTAGAGATAAAGGACAAAACATGTATCCCCCCACGGCCACCTCCTTGCCACCAAATCCTTAAAAGGGCATGAGATAGATGGTAGCTGTCTAACCCACTGCCGTCAAGTTGATTCTGATTCATAGTGACCCCCGTTGTGTTTCGGAGGTGGTAAATCTTTATAAAAGTAGATTGCCCAGTCTTCTTTCTGCGGAGTAGCTGGTGGATTTGAACTGCCAGCCTTCTGGTTAGCAGCCAAAAGCTTTGGGCACTGCACAACCAGAGCTTCTTGGTAGCCGTCTAAGTGTGTAGAAGACTATTCTGGCATCTGAAAAATGGCAACAGGATGCTCCCCTGTCTACACATGCCACATCTCCCTGGTTAGTCTGAGGGAATGACTGAGGAAAGGGAGATGTGGAAGTGGTGGCTGCAGCAACAGGACATGAGAGGTAGGATCTGGGAGCCACACACAGAGTGAGGTCAGGAAAGGTCTCAAGAGAAACAACACAGTACCAGAAAGAAGGAAAGGGGGTGTGTCTTTCCAGCCCTCAGAGTCATGGGAAGTTTGTGAGTCCAGACAGTATCCAAGTCAATGATAAATTACAACTAATGGAGAACCACGGATCCGAGAAGTCTCTATAGAGACAGTCAATGATCTAGACCCCAAAAGACAGTTTTGTAGCTACCATGAGGATTGCCTCATCCATAATCAGTTGCTCTAGACAGTGAATGGGAGAACTCTGCTTCCCTCCCCAGTTTTGGCACTTTCTCCAAGGTGATATTCTCTCAGCAGATGTTGTTGGACATGGAAACCTCAAGGGGACAGACAACAATAGCTGAGACTCACTATTTTTTAATATACCTTCACTTTTCCTCTGCATTTGCATCCTGTTAACTTCATGGTGACTGCTCTTGGCAAATAATTTGCTCCCAACTAATGCTGAGCTTGAGGTGCCTGGCACAGGGTGAATAAAACTGCGGGAGTTTGAGGTATGAATGTTTACAAGATTTCTGCAGACAGGGTTCAGAGAGTGTGCTGAGTTTAGTGAAGAGTTGTTTTCTTCGGGCAGCTTTTCTTCTTTGGGCTTGCCATTTTCTTCAGGAGGCAACCATTCCTCTATAGGTAAAAAGACAAGGGTGGTTCTCTTCAATAGACTCACAGGGCAAACACTATTAAAAAGTAGAAAATGTCCTAATTCCCCACAATGGTTCACTTAACTCACATTCTATGTAATCAAAAACTCTAAAAACTTCTAATAAAAAGTACATGGTCATTCCCTCCTTGGCATTTATAGTACTGGGCACTGTCCTGAAGTCCAAAATGATTCTCTGACCTCACCTGTATTTCTCATGCCAAACTATCCTATGCCAGTCTTGAGCCCAAGGCTGTGAACACCCAACTAAAGGATTCATTTTTAGGAATCCAGTTCTTCACAACTATTGGTTATAATGACCACACACTTGGTTTCTAACATCTGGTTACTACTTGCACAGTTATACATTCACTGGATAAAGGTGCTAGTTTTTTTTTTTTTTTTTCTGTCTAAGGAGAAATGACAGCTGTGCACTTCTGAAGGGAAAAAAGTGCTCAACAAGGCTGCCGAAGTGGCCGAACTGATTTGGGGAAATCACCTCCCTACCCCCAACACCACCATCCCAGAGCACAGGAGGGTGGTGGTAGAGTGACTTTTCTTCCCAATAACTGGGACATGTAAATGCTACTTACCTTTAGAGGCAAGCACCATTGTCTTGGGGATCTTAGAGAGAGGAGCAGGATAAGGTAGAGGTTGCTGAGAAGATCGTTTGGTGCTTTTCTTCCCTGATAAGCCTTCTGTTTCTATTTTCAAAAAATAAAGGTGTCTGTTATTCTAATTAATACATTTGAATATTTTCATGTGTCATCAGCATAAAGCATTGTCTCTAAGCCACTTAGCTACTATAACTTTATCCTCAATTTGCCAATTATTTGATTGTTCACAAATAACATGCCTATTTTAAAGTTTTTTTAAAATTTATTGTGGTGAAAATATATCTGGCAAGGAAATGGAGACAAGGGAATAGATAGCAGACCTCAGTAAAGTACAGAAGAAAGGATTTATGGGGAAAGGTGTGTGTGACAGGGAGGTCCAGAGAAAAATGAATAAACTGAACATGATGCTAAAGCTTCACACTTGAGTGGAATGAAAATGAAAATATCTGGTCTTAAATAGACAGTCTGTGATTGTACTATATACTTCCAGAATGAGCAGCACCTCATGAAGGAACCATGAGGCTATGACACTTGAGAACATCAGCTACTCTTAAAAAACTCACATATAATCCAGCCATGATTAGTATACCATGGTTAACCTTCATGAATCAAATGGAACTGAGATAAACTACTTCTAAAGAACATTTGCAAAAACCTCAAAAAGCTTGCTTGTTTCAGGGACTGTAAGGGACCACCACTCGCCTATCACTTTGTTGTACTATGGTGGCTTGCACATTGCTGTGAGGCTGGAACTGGTATTTCAAATCCCAGCAGGATAAACCGTGGTGGACAGGTTTCAGTGGAGCTTAGATGAAGAAAGACTGGGAAGAAGGATGGGGCCATCCATTTCTGAAAAATTGGCCAGTGAGAACCTTAGCAGTGAAACACTGTCTGTATATCAGTGCTGAAGATGAGCCCCTCAGGTTGGAAAGGACTCAAAATACGACAGGGGAAGAGCTGCCTCCTCAAAGTAGAACTGACCTTAATGACAAGGATGGAGTAAAGCTTACTCTCTCTCACTGCTGTCAAGTCAGATCTGATTCATAGAGCTACTTCCTTGGGTTTCTGAGGCAGTGTCACTGCAGAAGGAGCTCTGGTAGCATAGTGCCTAAGGTTCTTGACTGCTAACCAGAAGGCTGGAAGTTCAAACCCACCAGCCACTCCTTGGAAGGAAGGTTGGGTGATACACTTCCCTAGTGATACTGCACTGGAAACCCAAGGAGGGGTCGCTATGAGTCAGATCTGACTTGAAGGCAGTGTGCGCATTTGCACCTCCAGCCTACTGGTTAGCAGTCAAATGCCTTAGGCACTACGCCACCAGAGCTCCTAGAATAAAGCTTAGGGACCTCCATTTGCTAATGGGACACGACTCAAAATGGGAAGAAAAAGCTGCAACATCCATTAATAACTGGAATGTGGAATGTATAAAGTATGAATCTGGAAAATCAGAAGTTGTCAAAAATGAAATGGAACATACAAAGATCTATATCCTAAGCATTAGTGAGCTGAAATGGACTGGTATTGGCCATTTTGCATCTGACAATCATATGGCCTACTATGCTGGGAATGACAAATTGAAGAGGAACGGTGTCACAGTCTTCATTCACTATATTTATTCAATCTGTATGCTGAGCAAATAATCCAAGAAGGAAGACTATATGAAGAAGAATATAGCATCAGGATTGGAGGAAGACTCAGTAACAACCCATGATATGCAAAATAACACAACTTTGTTTGCTGAAAGGGAAGATGACATGAAGCACTTACTGATGAAGCTCAAAGACTACAGCCTTCAGTATGGATTACACCTCGACATAAAGAAAACAGAATCCTCACAAATGGACCAATAAGCCACAACACAATCAATGGAGAAAAGATTGAAGTTGGCAAAGACTTCATTTTACTTGGATCCACAATCAACGCTCATGGAAGTAGCAATCATGAAATCAACTGTCATATCACACTGGGAAAATCTGCTGCAAAGGACCTTTTTAAAGTGTTAAAAAGTGAAATTGTCACTGTGAAGACTAAGAAGCGCCTAACCCAAGGCATGGAATTTTCAATCGCCTCATATGCATGTGAAAGCTAGACAATAAATAAGGAAGATCAAAGAACAGTTGATGCATTTGAGTTGTGGTGTTGGCGAAGAATACTGAAAATACTATGGACAGCCAGAAGAACAAACAAATCTGTCCTGGAAGAAGTGTAGCCAGAATGTTCCTTAGAATTGAGAATGGCCAGACTTCATCTTACCTACTTTGGTCAAGGTGTCAGAGGGGATCATTCCCTGGAGAAGGATGTCATGCTTACTGAAGTAAAGAGTCAGTGAAAAAGGGGAAGACCCTCAATGAGATGGGTAAGATATAGTGGCTGCAACGATGGGCTCAAGTATGAGGAAGGATTATGAGGATGGTGCAGGATTTGGCAGAGTTTTGTTCTGTCGTACATAGGGTCGCTGAGTTGGAGCCAACTCAACAGCATCTAACAACAAGCAAGCAAGAAAGCAGCCTTTGGTTTTGCAGGACTTCAGTACACCCACCTCTTATTCAGATGTGAGTTTGGGATTCTTGTGGCAGAGACCCAATCATAGTTCAAATGTTAAATATAAGCAGATCACTGATTTGTCACCTCTCTGAATGACCACAAAGAATCTTTATAATTGAAGACACTGGACTCAAAATGGTTTAACTTCTTAGCATTATAAAGTTCAATAACTTTAAAGCCATACTTCAATCTAAAAGAAAATACATAATTCTGTGATAAAGTCACAAAGAAACCAAACATAACCTATTGGTTTTGATTCTCAAGTTCACACGAATACAACAAATTACTTCCCCATTCTGAATGAACATCGAATACTATATATTATAAAGTTCTAATTAATTAATTTTAGTTAAAATGCTTTCTGTGAGGAAGATATAAGGAAGAACTCTGAATTAGGGTAAGACGGAGGAATAGGCAGACAAGCTACACAGACCCTCTTCAACAAAGGAAAGAGAAACCAATTGACAGAGATACAGAAGATAATCCTGGAGCCCTGGGCTTTGAAAGGAAGGATCCAGAAGTGGATTAGGCATCAACTAGTGTAAAAACCTGAAAGACAACAATGAGTACGAAGATGGTCAGAGCAGTTACTGTCAGCTAATCTGACGGGACTGACCAACAGGCTGAATATTTCCAAGTGGTGTTGGGATCTGAGAATTGACCTAAAGATCAGCACTGGTTGCCAAGGCCTGCAAGGACGACTGCACTGATGGCCTTTGACTAGGAAGGGAAACACCAAGAAGGAAGACAACTTGAGCTGTGACATTTTGAATCTTTGTAAGTGGTGGCCATTTTGGATTTTAAAGTGATAGCATTCTCATTCGGATTCCAGGGACCTAAGAATAAGCTCCATTTGCCAAGGACAGCAGGGACATACGGAAAGCTGACAACAGGAAAGGAGACTGGTGGTGAGTGTATAAATGCTGTCAACTACTGAATAGAGGAGCAAAGTACTCTACTTACTTAGATAAAATCCAAAGAAAACAAAAATCATGGGCAAGTCATTTCAACATACAATCACCAATTAAATATAAACACAAAAACATCACAATGCCTCAGAGACAACAGAGCATCATAGTGGACACAAAGAAGCAAGATAAAGCAGGAGAAACAAAGGACCAGAATACAGACCCAAAACACATTCTTGAGGAAGACGCAGCATTGGAACTCCCTGATAAGGAATTCAAAAGAATTATATTTAGGTATCTTCAACAAATTGAGAGACAGATCAAGGAAAACACTGACAAAACTGAGGAAAACACAGAAAAACACTCGAACAATTTCAAAAGACAATATAATAACAAAATGACAAAGTAAATGAAAAATTAGAAATGATACAAAATCTACACATAGAAATCCAAATGATTAATACTAAATTTTCAGAAATAGATAAGACATTGAATGGGCAAAGGAACAGAATCGAATCAATGGAAGACAGAATTAGTGAGATTAAAGGCAAGTATCTCAATAGCTTTTTAGAAAGCGATCAGTCTGAAAAAAGATCAAAACAAAATGAAGAAAGCCTAAGGTTATGTGAGATATCATCAAAAGGAATAACCTACATGTGACTGGAATTCAAGAACAGGAAGAGACAAATAAAAGCACAGAAAAAATCGTCGAAGATTTGTTGGAAGAGAATTTTCCTGGTATGATGAAAAATGAGAATACATCCATTCAAGAAGTCTGACAAACCCCAAACAGGATAGACCCCAAAAGAAAATCACCAAGACATATTATCAAACTCACCAAAACCAAACACAAAGAGAGAATCCTGAAAGCAGCACACACACACCCACACACACACAAAAAAAAACCACAAATAAACTCATTGCTGTCGAGTCAGGGTTTCTGCTGTCCTAGGGTTTCTGAAGCAGTATCACTACAGAAGTAGATCGCCCCATCTTCCTTCCAAGGAGTGGCTGGTGGGTTTGAACCGCCAGCCTTCTGGTTAGCAACAAAAAGTTACCTACAAGGGGCAACCAATAATAAGACTAAGCTCAGATTTCTTGGCAGAAACCATGCAGGCTAGAAGACAATGGGATGGTCTACATAAAACCTTGACAGAGAAAAATTTCCAACCAAGAATTATGTACCCAGCAAAACTGTCCCTTAAATATGATGGTGAAATTAGGACATTTCCAAATAAGCAGAAATTAAGGGAATTTGTTAAAACCAGACCAACCTTACAAGAGATGCTAAAGGGAGTCCTTTGGGCAGAGAAGCAAC